TTTTTGAACTCCTTTTTGGGCCTGCCCGATCCTCCAAGCAAATCCACGGCACATATGGAAGTCTGAGTTTAGGGTTTAGGGTTGAAGATCTAGAAATGACAGGTGTTTTGTATGTTGTCGTAGCGATTAGTATGTTTTTTGTTATGCCAATTTGTCTTTACCAGCATTGCCTTATGACGGTTCGATCAATTGTATACGGGTGTTGCAGGCTGTTCGCCGGGCTGCGGGTGCATAGTTTGAGGCCAAGAAACTACGAGGTATAAGCGGGTGCATAGTTTGAGGCCAAGAAACTACGAGGTATAAGGATGGCGGGTTGAGGGCTTCCGGCTTATACAGCTTACGGTTTGAGTTTCAGACTTTGGCAATTGGCTGACGACTTTTACCCTAAACCCTAAACCCTCAACCCTAATTATAAAGAACAGTCAAAAAATCTGTCTGCAAGCCCAGGACTTGAAGCCTACAGTAAGGCCTACGGACTGCGAAATCGTGGGGTTTACGTACAATCTTGGTCATACACATCCATAAACACAAGTATATATATATATATATATATATATGAAGATCTGATCTATATAGACATGTGTATATACATATGTATATATGTATGTATGTATATATATATATATACACATGTGTACATACACAGTCACAGTATTATTGAAGGATGCTGACTTCACGGGCTCTCACCAAAGGCTACTTGGAGGTTCATGGGTAGTTCTTAGTGGGGTCATAAGTCCCCTAATATAGGCTGTAGCTAGATCGAGTAGTCCTACTTACACGTTTACTTCTGACTTCCCATGAACCTCCAAGTAGGCCCTCTCGGTTGTTAGAAAACATACGTCTGCCGGGGAACATACTTGCAGCTGGTCCCAGAGGGTCCGCATGTACTACCATTCTGGAATCAAGCCCCAGAAGACATCCCTATTCTATTCTGGCTTTGCGGACCTATGTCCATAACTTACATACTTGAGCCCAAGGAAATCCTAAGGCACACCCTCCCAATATATGCTACTGTAGAGGGGTCTTCATAATTAGAGTAGGGTTTTGGGATATAGTTCGAAAAAGTGAGACATTTGGAATATATAGTGTGTTTAGGGTTTTGACTTAGACATGGCTGATAACCTGATACAGGCCAAACTTGTATTCCATAGCAGTATCATTCGCCTTGTAGCACACGCTTGCCATGGTTTGGTGGCATTGCAGGTAGTATTGCTATCACGAATTTCGGCTAGTATAGGCAGTATGAGCAGGACTGAGACTATCATGGTGGCCGGATAATCTTCGTCTCCGTGATAGTCCCTAAACCCTAAACCCTAAACCCTGAACCCCAAACCCTAAACCCTAAACCTTAACCTAAACCCTAAACCCTAAACCCTAAACCCTAAACCCTAAACCCTATCACAGTTGCCGTTTAGAGTTCAGCATGAAGAGTGTGGGATCTGCGAAACAAGCCCTTATGGCCGAGTGCATCAAATCCCAAACCGAAACTTTCGGGAGCACGCCATGCCTAAACCCTAAACCCTAAACCCTAAACCCTAAACCCCTAAACCCCAAACCCCTAAACCCTAAACCCTAAACCCTAAACCCTAAACCGAACTGAACTTCGTGCAAGGGCCTTCGTCCCAATCCCAGGAACACACGATGTAGAGTTCCTGCTGGGCTCATCGTCTCAGGTTGCTTAGGGTTTCGGGGTAAAGGGGTCCAAGGCTACCAAAACTCGGAGCATTGAACGTACTGTACCAAGAATCCCGAAGATGGTCTGCAATGAGACCCTGAACACGTCAACCCGAAACCTCCTAAACTTGATCCCCAAAAGACCCGAAACTTCCCTAAACCCTAGCTTAAACTACCAACCCACTTCTGTCTCGGGTCTTCATATATGGGATATACGGTTGATGATATAATTCCTGCATTACCCATAAACAGAAACGTACCATAGTTCCCATAGTTTAGGGTCCTTAAGGCAAGGCAGGATTTGTATCATGACGTCACAGCCGCAAGACGAGTCTGCAATCCCCTTTTCAGACATCCCCATGTTTTCGTGTACTGTACATTATTATTACAAGATCTCAACTATAAAACCCAGTAGCCCGACAACAAAAACATACAACTCTGCGTGTTGTTTTTATGCGGGCGCTCCTCAATAGCCGGTGCCGGAGCAGGAAAGACTGTGAGGTTTAAACCCTACTGTAAACCCTAAAGGGTCCCACTGTTGATGATATAAACCCTGCATTACCCATGCTACGGAATAAGGAATACACCATGTTTCACATAGTTTAGGGTCCTTCATAAGGTAGTGCAGGATTTATATCATCAAGAGCCGCTCTCCTTGTCTTAGGGCTGGTGCAGGTCGCTTCAGAAGCACTACGGTCTCAAGGGAAAGGGCTGCTTGAGACAGGAAAAGCCCCGAGCATTCTCAGCCTCTATAAAAATCCTTCTTCAAGATCCTAAACCCTAAACCCTAAACCCTAAATCCAGGCATCCGAAACTAGAACTCCACCATGACGGCCCTGTAAACCCATCAACGTGAACCTCCTAAGACGGTTTAGGGGTTTAGGGTTTAGGGGTTCAGGGTTTAGGGTTTAGGGTTTAGAGTTTAGGGTTTAAGGCTTAGGGTCCTAAACCTCTCAATCATCCCAAACCCCTACTTGGCCCATCACAGGCAGGAAGGCAAGAAAGGATTACTTTAAGGGGCCCCATTTCAAAATATCAGGAAACCAAACCACAAAACAACAAATCCCCAAGATTGATCAAGTTCACGCCAAAGCCCTAGCACCTCAGTTTCTAATGCCGGAATCGGCAGGCTAAACCCGGAGAGCTAGATAAAGCTGTCCGCTTGACTCCTTGTTGTTGCAGCAGCCCATGTTGGCACGCCGCTTTTTGTTCACGGTCCACAGATGTTGAGGGTTTAGGGCGACCCTGCACGGACGCTTCGTCCCTGTTTCATTGTTGACCTTTTGAAGCCAGCCCTAACATTTAACTGCTAAAGCTTGAACACAAAACCATAAATACAGTGTATTATGATCAGGAGATGGCGCGGCCTGCACAAGGGGGCAAGGTAAGGCTGAAGGTGCTAAGGCTCGGAGAGTCATATAGGAGCAGTAGGAAAACAACAAGGGTTTCGGATGGCTTTGGGGTATGGCACACAAAAATACAAACACATGAATAACAACATAACTATACCTAGTTTTATACATACATACCTACATATATATATATATATATGTGTATAATACCAAGAAACTGCAAGAACCCTAAACCCTAAACCCTAAACCCTAAACCCTAACCCTAGAGTTATTATAAGTACGTGTTCAGGATCCACCAAATAAGATTACTCTGCCCCGCATCCAACCGAGCTCCTCCGCCCGATAGTTCTAGAACATGCCATGAGGGCGTGGGGCTTGGGATTTAGGGTTTCGGATTTGGGTTTAGGGTTTAGGGTTTAGGGTTTAGGGTTTAGGGTTTAGGGTTTAGGGTTTAGGGTTTCGGATTTGGTGGTGGTAAACCACCGAGGCTTCTGGCTCTTATTTACGAGCTTTCTTGTATTGTGGGTTGATGGTGGCAGCTGCAGCCTCAAACGGCCGCAGAACTCAAGCACAACACCGCGGATGTCTGGTCGCTGACCTCCGATTCTGTCGTGGCACCGATAATGCTGATCCCGGTTTAGGGTTTAGGGTTTAGGGGCTTTGCATGTTCGCCCGCCGTACCTGACTTTTCCTTGGTCTGTTGTTGTCGCATGCTAATCGTCAGCTGGCGCGCCAAACACAGGAGCTGTCAAGGAGACTATGCCTCGGTAAGACATTTTCAGCCGATAAAATTTCCTGCTAGAACACATTAAATATGATGTACAAAGCGAAAAAGTTAGGAGCATGAAGACTTTCAGCTTACAGTTGCGGCACAAAACAATCACATGGAGGCCTTCTTTCTATCAGTATGTTAAGCATCATCCTATCCCTAAATCCCTGCTCCTGAGCTTGCAGTGCATGCTTGCAGGTCGATAGGCTTGTTCAGGTCGAGCTTCGTGACTTGGAAAGTGTGAGCTTGGAACCGCGCTCTGGGGCGTTTGGCAAGAAGTGCTCAGAATTGCATCTATCGAGTCCGCAGCTAAATTGAAAATGGCTCCTCAGCGCTGTGGTGCCTCCTATCCTCTAATCAATGCCGACACAACACCCCAGCAGTAAAGCGATTCTTTTCTCGGTGACTGGTTGTCGGTGCCATGCAGCACCATGTCGGGCATTTCGCGCGAATTAGGTCGAGGAGTCCACAAAGCAGGCTAGAGGGGCAATATTTGTAAACCCTGAGCCTGAAACCATGTGGGCAGTTGTCAAAAGGAGGGCCCCTCCGAGAGCGCTGTTTAAAGCCGTACTATTCTTGGGAACTACTTGGAGGTCCATGGGTAGTTATAAGTGGAGTTATAAGTACCCTAATATAGGTTATAACTATAGTTACCCTACTTATAGCCCTACTTATAACTACCCATGAACCTCCAAGTAACAGGGGGATCCGAATTTACAGGACTACCCATGTACGTGTTTGAAAGCCCTCCGGCTTCAAAAGCAGCCTCCCCGAAGCACCCTCGATGTAGGTGGTATAGGCCTTACCCATAGGCTCCATTGTACTTCCTTTTTGGGTTTAGGGTTTAGGTTTTAGGCTCCATTGCACTTCCTTTTTTTTGGATTACCTTATCGGATCCTATATATAAACCACCAAAAGGAACTACCATGGAGCCTGTAGGTAGAGCATTATAGGCAAGCTGAATCCTGGAGAAACATTCTGGACGAAGGAAGCTGAACTGCTTAGGAGCAAAGTTGAACCCAATCCCAGCACCCTATGACCCCAACCCAGACACAACCCCCTGAACTAAACCGCAATGCGCCACAGGCAATAGCGCTAGCACCTCAGCATGCTATAACACCTTGTGCCCTCATTGCCACAAGCAGTGACAGTCTGAAGCATGTAGGAAGTCCACTCGAAATCTTGAGCCACACATGCTAGCTCACCAACCTCAATTTCCACACACGCCCATAGACACTTCGTGGCTTTCCTTTCAACTCTGGAAAAATTTCCGTCCCGGGCCTCTGCAACGGATGCAGGCTTTTAGTTGGGAGCTTGGACAGATTGATTGAAACTCGGCAGCTCGAAAAATAGCCCTAACCTGGACCCAAAGAACCTACCTTTTTTTAATGACGTACATAAAGAAATCATGATAAGAAGCCCTAAAACATGGAAGGTTTTGTAGGGTTAGGGAATGGCTCAGATACTGGGGGTCTTAGGGGAGGCACGGGCTGAAGACATGAGTCTGTACTAAACTAAGAAGGGCCTTCATAGTTCGAAGAGGGGTTTAGGGTTTAGGGTTTAGGGTTTAGGGTTTTAGGGTTTTAGGGTTTTAGGGTTTAGGGTTTTAGGTTTTAGGGTTTAGGGTTTAGGGTTTTAGGGTTGAGGGTTAAGGGGGGGGGGGGTATCTTTTTTTCAGGGTACCCCAGGATTCCTTTAAGGGCCCCTTCTAAGGGTTCCTTAGGGTTCCTGTTAATTTATGAAGGGATCATCCAAGAACTACAAGGGGGATGGCGCTAGGAATTTTAAGTTTCCCGACCTTGACATTGGAGGCCTCCGTACCTATAGTCTTCATGGTAATTCCTTTTTTGGGCCACCTTATTTAGGAAAATGATTCAAACAACTACAGCAACGACTATAGCCACAGCCTAAACCCAAACCCTAAGCACTAAACCTTAAACCCCGAACCTTAAAACCCTGAACCCTATACCCTAAACCTTATGAACCCTAAGCACTAAGCCTTAAACCCTGAACCCTAAACCTTATAAACCCTAAGCACTAAGCCTTAAACCCCGAACCCTAAACGTTATAAACCCAAAGCACTAAGCCTTAAACCCTGAACCCTAAACGTTATAAACCCTAAGCACTAAGCCTTAAACCCTAAACCCAAAACCCTAAACCTTATAAACCCTAAGTAACCCTAAACCCTAAACCTTATGAACCCTAAGCACTCAGCCTTAAACCCTGAACCCTAAACCTTATAAACCCTAAACACTAATGCTTAAACCCTGAACCCTAAACCTTATAAACCCTAAGCACTAAGCCTTAAACCCTGAACCCTAAACGTTATAAACCCTAAGCACTAAGCCTTAAACCCTAAACCCAAAACCCTAAACCTTATAAACCCTAAGTAACCCTAAACCCTAAATCGTATAAACCCTAAGCACTAAGCCTTAAACCCTGAATCCTAAACCCTAAACCTTATAAACCGTAAGCGATAAACCTTAAACCCTGAACCCTGAAACCCTAAACCCAAAACCCTAAACCCAAAACCCTAAACCTTATAAACCTTAAGTCACCCTAAACCCGAAACCGTATAAACCCTAAGCACTAAGCCTTAAACCCTGCACCCTAAACCCTAAACCTTAAATGGGAATTAGGATTAGGGAGACTTTTGGGGATCTAGACCCTCTCAATAAGTCAATAAGGTCCCTTTTTAAGAGGGCCAGAAGTAGGATCCAGAAGGGTCCCCTTGAAGGAGTCTCCCTAATACTACCTACTTGGAGGGTCGGGGGGCTTAGTAAGTAGTGATTTCATAGAGTTAGAAGCACCATAGCCCCAACTAGGATCCCAATGAGGGCACTTACAACTGTACTTATTATCGACTTACTCAAACCTCCGACCCTCCAAGTAGGATTAAACCCTGAACCCCAGGGTTGACACCCAAGGCTCCGATGCAGGATTTAGGGTTTAGGGTTT